TGGGGGAGGTGAGGCGGTGGGGATGGGTGGCTGTGTCGGGCAGGGGCGAGCTGAGGGGTGGGAGCAGGGCAGGGGCCTTGCCGAGACAGGGCAGGCTCCCACTACCATCTTCCTACCCCCTGAGGTCACCTTACCTCAGGCCAGGTCCCCTGTACCTGGGAGCGTGAGGGCTGCTCTGGGGACAGGTAGCCCTGTTTCCTTGAGGTACTGTTGGGTTGCAGTGGCTTAGGCCGGCTGTGAGCTCGTGGCATCAGGTGCATGATGACTTTTTTTTGTGCTATGAAGGGGCAGGCAGCATGCCTTTCTTGAAAGGCTTTGGTCTCTGTGGATTTGATGGTGGCCATTTATCTCCATGTGCATTTTTCTGACACCCTATCTGTGCGGGTGTCCCAGCCCTGCTGGCAGGCTGCAGCCTCTGTCACCTGCTGAAATATGGGGTGGCAGGAGCTGGTGCCCCCTGCTCCCCACACGCCTGGGTCAGGGCTCCCAAGGAGCTCCCCTGCTGTCATGCAGGCTCTGCCTCTTCTGTGCAGGTCTGGTTGCCCGTGTGCCCAGTCACATGAGCAAAAGGGCTGTCATTCATGGTACAGCTAAAAACGTGTCTTCACAGCAATGGCACCAAGGCAAACCAATGTGGGAATGCCTGTGCTGGAGTTCTGAAGCTGCAGGCAAAGTTTAAGTGTGATACTTGTCTCTGTTTCAGGGTAGCTGAGACCATTGGGTGAAGATCCCAGGGAGCTTTGCTGCGCTAAAAGGTAGTGTTGTGTTTGGCACTGTGACTTTGTGGCCTTCCTGAGACCTGATTTTATGACAAAAAGGGTATCCCACTGGAATTCACCCAGCAAAGTATCAGCAAATAAAGGGAAACTATTTTCCTCTGTGTTTTTGGGGGAGCTTGTGCTCTGTTTTGTAGCAGAGATATGGAGTTGTGATAGTATGACCAGTCCTTTCACCCTAATAATAAGCTTGCATAGTTTGGTAAGTAACTTGCTTCTGCTTTACACAACTTGTGTCAGCTGACAAATAAGTTGCAGTTTGAGTATGCAGAGAAACCGCTTATCCTGTCTTGCATTGGGAGTTAGCGCCGTTACAAGTATGCTGCTCCATGCTGTCCTTCCATCTGTCATTTAAATAGAGGGCTATTTTCCATTTATTCATCCCCTGCAAATCCAGCCATGTTTATAAGTAATCTGTGACACAGCCCTGGATGTTGTAGGGAAAATGAATGTTAATATCAGATGTTCAATACCAGAAAAGTATGTAATACTTCTGAATTGCTGAGGTCTTTATGTGAGTATTACAAGATCAGAGTACCCTGCTTAAAGGAAAAAAAAAGTAGGGGGAGGTATGCAGTAAAAGGAAATGATAGCAGAAAGCAGTTTATTTTGAAGCCAAAAGGATAAGAGGAATTCCTCTGGGTAAGGAGGAGGGAGGGTTGGTGAAAAGTGCTTGTTGGAAAGTGAGGATCTTGTTAAGCACAAATGTGAACTAGTTACAAACCCTTAGTAATTAAGTAAACATGAGGATAATTAAGTCAACATGAGGAGCCATCACTTCTACAGGTGTAATCAACAGTGAGCTGAAGACAGAGGAAGAAGAAACTTTAGAGGAAATACTATTTAGAAAAGTAATTGTCTATTTGTTTTCTCTTGCCCATTTTTAAGATTGATTAGTTCAAGTAATTTGTTGTAAAGTTGGGATATAATTGAACACTTTCAAACATGTCTTGGTGTGTTAAATTTTTCAAAAATGGGTCTTTGATATGGTGCCAGTCATGTTATAAAATTGTACTATTAATGTTTTGTTAAAAACTAAAGTAGAACATTGGTCTCTTTCAGCTCTAGTATTTATTTCAAAAAATGCCTGTATCTAGTCAAAACTATTATTGCATTTCCTACAATAATTCATTATAGCTAAAAATTGCAATTTAGGCCCTAAATGGATTCAAGAAGTACTTGTGTTCATTTTATTAGAGATGTACATCTCCCTACTTCTTCACTAAGATAAGAGAAGCTAATATAATCAGCTCAATTGAAATGCTTAGAGAATTCTCTTTTTCTCCTTGTAAACTTATGTGGTTGATTTCAGCTAAAAGCTGATGTTCTGTCAAATAAACCATTTTTTAATTCTTCAGATATCTTAAAATAGTATATATTCATTTGGAAAGAATGTTAATGGGAATT